AACTGCAACTTAATTCTTTGTGTGTGTGACATACGGGCCAACTTGCAATTTGCATGTGTAAATCAGTAAATTATAGGTCGGTTCAAAATTATCACAAACAAGGTTGTATTTCCTTTCCTTTTTTAAAAAAAGAATCATACACTGCCGTTGCAGCTCTCGGAAAATATCGAGCTCTAATGGTTTTGATAAAACATTTCTAAACTTTTAAACTTTATTTACGCCGTGTTTAGTTCCGAAATATTTCTTCAAACTTCAAATTTTCCATCACATCAAACTTTTCTACACACATAAACTTTCAACTTTTCACGTCGTTTCAATTTCAACCAAACTTTCAATTTTAGCTTGAACTAAACACAGCCTTATTTATGAAACAAAATTTCATAATACTCTTGGCCCGAAACACACGTTGGCTGCCTCTCACTGCCACTCGGGCCCCACCCTCATGGCGAAGTATTGGGGCCAGCGGCTATGGCGGCCGCCGGCGCCGGACGCCGCCACGACCGTTCACCTGGCCTCCCTCCTCCAGTCGTGCGGCCGCGCCGGCGACCTCCGCCGGGGCCGCCTCCTCCACGCGCGGCTCGTGCTCTCCGGCGCGGCCGCCGCGTCCACCTTCCTCGCCAACCACCTCATCACCATGTACTCCCACTGCGCCGACCTCGCCTCCGCGCTCCGCCTCTTCGCCGCCATGCCCCGCCGCAACGCCGTCTCCTGGACCACCCTCGTCTCGGGCCTCTCCCAGAACCTCATGCACGCCGACGCGCTCGCCGCCTTCGCCGCCATGCGCCGCGCGGGCGTCGCGCCCACGCGGTTCGCGCTCTCCAGCGCCGCGCGCGCCGCGGCCGCGCTCGGGGCCCCGCTCCCGGGCGCGCAGCTGCACTGCGTCGGCGTCAGGCTCGGCTTCGACACCGAGCTCTTCGTCGCGAGCAACCTCGCGGATATGTACTCCAAGTGCGGGCTCTTGTCTGAAGCATGCAGGGTGTTCGACCAAATGCCTCAGAAGGATGCCGTTGCCTGGACAGCCATGATCGATGGGTATGCCAAGAATGGGAGCCTTGAGGCGGCTGTTTTGTCTTTCCGGGACATGAAACGCGAGGGACTGGTTGGTGCTGATCAGCATGTGTTCTGCAGTGTGTTGAGTGCGTCGGGAGGGCTCAAGGATGGGTGGCTCAGCAAAAGCATCCATTGTTGTGTGACAAAGGCAGGGTTTGAACTGGAGGTTGCTGTGAGGAATGCACTCATTGACATGTACGCTAAGTCCATGGATGTGGAGAGTGCCTCTCGCGTGCTGAAGATTGACCCTGGAGGTTGGAATGTTGTATCAGGCACCTCTATGATTGATGGTTACATTGAGACCGATTGTGTTGAGGAGGCCCTTGTAATATATGTTGAACTGCGGAGACAAGGAGTCGAGCCTAACGAATTCACTTTCTCGAGCATGATCAAGGGCTGTGCCATGCAGGCTCTGCTTGAGCAAGGTGCTCAATTGCATGCTCAAGTGATCAAAACGGATTTGATCAGGGACTCCTTCGTTGGTTCCACCCTAGTGGATATGTATGGGAAGTGTGGCCTTATAAGTTTGTCCATGCAGTTATTTAATGAGATTGAATACAGAACAGATATTGCTTGGAATGCGGTAATCAATGTATTCGCACAACATGGTCATGGAAGGGAAGCAATCCAAGCTTTCGATAGGATGATCTATAGTGGTATCAGGCCAAATCACATTGCATTTGTCAGCCTGCTCACAGCATGCAGTCATGCTGGATTAGTGGATGAAGGACTCAAGTATTTTTACTCTATGAAGGAAGCCCATGGTATTGAGCCTAAAGAGGAGCACTATTCCTGTATCATTGATACGTATGGTCGAGCTGGGAGATTAGATGAAGCATATAAGTTCATATCTGAGATGCCCATCAAGCCCAATGCCTATGGCTGGTGCTCTTTGCTTGGAGCTTGCCGTATGCGAGGGAGCAAGGAGCTGGGGGAGGTTGCGGCACAAAATCTTATGAAGCTTGAACCAGGTAACACTGGTATTCATGTGTCCCTTTCTGGGATCTATGCATCCCTGGGCCAATGGGAGGATGTGAAGGCAGTCAGGAAGTTGATGAGAGATAGCAGGATTAAGAAACTTCCTGGTTTTAGCTGGGTCGATTCTAACAAAAAAACCCATGTGTTTGGATCCGAGGATTGGTCACATCCACAGCAGAAGGACATATATGAAAAACTTGAGGAACTCACTACGAGGATAAAGGAGGAAGGTTATATCCCGGATACAAGCTTCTTGCCATGTAATTTAGAAGACATCGCAAAAGAGAGGATTCTTCGTTATCACAGTGAGAGAATAGCTGTAGCTTTTGCTTTGATAAGCATGCCAGCTACAAAACCAATCATTGTGAAGAAGAATTTGCGGATATGTATAGACTGCCACACTGCATTCAAGTTCATTTGTAAGGTAGAAAGAAGGGATATTATTGTGAGAGATAATTCCAGGTTTCACCATTTTGTGAATGGTAGGTGTTCCTGTGGAGATTACTGGTGATTAACTCTTATCCTTTTTCGAGCTAGAAAGGTACAATAGGAACTTCTACACTGCTGGCAACTGACCTTTTTACAGTGCTTAAATTTCCATGTTAGTTGTTACTGTTTTTTTTATGTACTTGTATACAGTTGCTAGTTGTAACAATATTGATTCAGAAAAAAAAAAGGTAAAATCTTACTTAGAAAGGGGTAGAAATGCAAGAGCATACCTCATGTGTATGCACTAACTGCTCATCAGGCAAACACATGCAAATCTAGCCCATTTTCTCCTTAACTTTTTTCCAGTGGTTTTGTGTCTTTGTTGGGGTGGTGGTGGTGTGTGTGGGGGGTGGGTGGGGTTGAAATATGTAGGTCACAGATGTTCCATTTTTCACCAGCACCTTTCATGTAGCCTTTACATTTTGTACACAGTTTTCTCATGAAATTAATGCATGGACTCTGGACCCTATGTACCTTCAGCAAAGCAGCATGTGGATACTCTCTGCCAACCACGTATACTGCATCCTTGGGAATGGAGTGAGGGTATAATGGTTTTACTTTCTTAAGATCAAAGAACGCTGTTCAATTATTTCTTTATTAACTTTCATTAGAATGGGCTCCGGAAGACGTGTTCTAGCTTAATAGCCTCAGTTTTGACACTTTGAATAACCTCTCTTTGACTGTTCCTCCAAGAAATGTTTCCACATGGAAAATGTGCCCCTTGAACCAGTTTCGTATACCATATACCTCTTTTATTAGGCAGAAGAACCTAACAAACAAATATTCGAAGGAGTAAATCAGCATTGCCGAATTGGTACAGTTTGCTTTCGTACCGATAAAAGGAACTCAGTCAGGTGGGGTGTGGAGGTTGGATAAGGATGAGCTCATCAACTGAAAGCTTGAATTCTTTGAACTGATATGTGAAGGTGATGGTGGTGTGGTTTCTGGAAGCCTGTTGTTTGTTTCAAGAGTAGGTATGGCTATTCCCTGGCTTCCTAATACTTTCCAGCATAACATGAGAACCTGTTAATGGTGAAACATGATATTGTTTGACATTTCCTTCACTGCTACTGAATGGAGAAAACACACACATTTTATAACATGGTTCCATACTACCATTTAGAGTTGTAGTTACAACATGCTCTTGATCTATTTTTAGGCATAACATTCACTAACTCTGATATTTCATGTAGCTTGTCATTAGTGTTATGCTGGTTGAGGCAGTTGAACCTTTATCATCTGCAAAACCTGGCTATAGTTCTCTGTTAACTTCCTTTCCTTGTAAGAAATGGTCATTTGTTCTTATCCATTAAAAAATACTGATACAACGTAAGAATTGAGAATGGGCTTTCTTTGACAGAATAATGTAGTGTAATCAAGTCAGCACTTTTTCCTGCAGAGTCATCATCTGATCACCACGTTATAAATAAACAATACTTTATTGACCTAACTGGAAAGCTGTCTTCTAATGCTCTGTTGTTGCCTTTTATTTTAATTGTTGGTACCTTGGATTTTACCATGGCAGTAAAACTTGCAAAAAAAAGAAGCTAAACAACAAAGGGCACTGATGGAGAACTAACAAGGGCGTGGAAATCTATCTGATGTGTAAAGTAGATCTTTTTTTATCGAACTGGGATTTAATCAAATCAACACATGGTTTGCTCTTTTTTTCCATGTTATGCGTCAGTTTCAACTAGCTTCCATGTAGTGATGTTGAACTGAATTTGTAACCATGTGCTACCAACTGTAGAAAGTTATTTAGCATACAGCTGATCGCTTTCAAAGCAAGAAGTACTATTGGGCATTTGGAGGAGGCTTTCAATTTACATTCTCTGTGGTTCCTATATGCACTTATTACTGCAATTTTTTATGTATCATTTTTGCAACAATATTCAGCCATATTCTGGATTCTCTATGTGCTTGTGATTGCCCCAACTCCTTATGCAATTATGCTTGACAGTTTTGGCTGTTCAGTTTTATTTACATGATGCTCTCTTCTGTAACTATCATAGTACATAAGGCCAGTTAATCTACAGGAACACAGAACATCACCATTGATCACACATCAGAATCCAGAGGCCCCACGCCTAAAATGATGACACACATAAAAGAAAAATATATAAAAGATGGCCAAATAAAAGCAAGTTGAGCATAGCAAAGTAGAAGTGTAGAATATGATAATCCCTTCATATGAAAATGATCCATAGACTGATTTGGTGGCAAAGTTCATAGCTAATTTCCTAGAGCTGTCATTTCCTTGAAGTAGAAAAACTGCCGAGGAGCAGGCATTCTCCTCAATTGACATTAAATAAGGCCTTAGCTTGAACAATCGACAAATCCACTCTCTTGCTTTATTAGATTAATATGAGGTTCCATAGAGAACCAAATCGCTATATAGTAAGTGTTGGTTTGATGCTTTGGACTTTGAGCATATTATAAGTCCATAACATTCAAAAACCTTGTTTTGTGAAGAAAAAAAATGATTTTCCTTGTTCAATTGTATATTTTCAATGTACATATACCATATCAACATGGTATGCAGTATGTTTCAATTACAGAACTGGGTGTATCATCTAAATTCTGAAATTACACGCTGAAGATATTCAAATGATTTTGTGTGGCTGATGAACCCCATAAACCAAAAATCAAAGCCGTCAACAGTAACTACATCGATGTACTTCTCGTCAGGATTGTACAAATTTTCTCTCACTGCAGCACTCTTTATCCTCTTTGCTGGGATCAAGACCTGTAGAAGGTAAAAAAGTTCCCGTCAGCTTTGATTTCAAGTGCACATCCAAATATTTCTGAGCCAGGACTTTCTATTTATAAGCTCTATCTATGTAACATTGAACAGGGAATTTTGCTTTATTTACCTTGTAGGGCACCCTTGTTATGCCTCCTTTTGGTGATGTCAAATCCAAAGGCCTATCACTGTGGAAGGCAATCTTTTCAGTGGAGATGAAAAGCATGCCAGCTATAGGGCCAGCTGTGGTTGAAAGATAGCACTGGAAAGCCTTCAATAGCTTCTCATCTTTGTCGACTTGAAAGTATTGCCTGAACACTTTGTCGATGCTACCAGCTTGGAGAACCTTTGCACCTAAACTCAATTTCCCTTTGAGTGTGTCTGAAATCTTTGGTCCCAGAGTTACTGCAAGGACAAAAGAAAGGGGTTGGGAATAAGTTATTGCCTGATCCATACAAACAAAACTTCTAACTGGTAGAAGTGCATCGCAGAATACTCACTGTGTTCTTTGAAACCCTGCACATAACTATCTGTTTTCTGGCTCAGTTTGCTCATCCGATAAATGATGGAATTCTTTTTGCCTGGACAACAAAAAGGATACGAAAATCAGTATTGGCATTCTCAGAGTATAGCTGCTGGAAAAGGAGAAATCAGAAACAAGGGCATGGGGTTATTACCCTTCTTATGAACCAAAGAAGACCGGGAAGTTTTCCTTTCTATTTTCTCCTCAGCATATGCGAAGGAAGCCAGAGGAATTCCAATGACATGCTCCTGGCTGAAGCCCTCCATTGCCTGGTAAGATAGCTCTCTCTCTTTCTCTGCTTGTGCACTGGAGCTTTAAGAGTTTCTTTCCCTGTGAGTAGTTGGCTCCCTGCTCCAGGCCATGTATGGGGTTATATAAGGAGAAGCTACCTAAAGGTACTAGCTTATCTTTATTCCATTGGAACAAAGTGGCGCAACTGAATCATCACTTTATGCTGCATACTCACCGTCGCCTCATCAGGATCAAAAAGCAAGCAAAACCTTCCTTGACTAAAGCAATGGACGTGAGAAGAACTCCTTGAGCTTTCAGCCCAGCTAATGAGGAGGTATCGATGCTTCCCTTTTTAAGATGAACTTTCTGTTGCGATACTGTTTATCATGAGGTGGTTGATAGCATGCTAAACTGTTATCTTTATAAGTTGATGATAGGAGAACATTGTAGGGTTTCCTTTTTGCCATTAACTCTTTAAGTGGGTTATTTGATACGTGGTGATAAACAGGTTCTCTGTTTTTCCAGTTCAGGCATCGGGCAAACACGTGGTTGATTACTTGGTTCAAATTTCAGACCAAACTGCGGGTACATATTTGGTCACCTTTCCACTTACATTTTGGTCACGTTTTTGTGATGAATGTTGTTCAGGATGCTCGACCATACTAAGAATGTCCACTTCTCAAGTTCGTATGACAAGATCGATGCTTCGATGAACCTGATGTGAAATTACTACAGAATATAGCTAGTAATGAGCAAAGCTAAACTATAAACACTGCTTCCTACTGAGAGAGTGCAATCAGGTCCAGAATCAAACCAGACTTACTGACTGAGGCTGTAAAGAGCTGCAAAGATTCTTCAATGAATACTCAAAAAAATCTTCAATGTTTTGTTTCCAATCCTGCTGATGAAGAGGTAATGACGACATGCAATTGAGCACTTTGACTACTTTTCAATGGCAATGACGACATGCCTTAAGTTACTTACAAACCTTATTAATAGTCGCTACTATATTAGTGATCAATACATAACTAGAAAAATACTTCTGTGCTGACCCTTTCGGCCCTTTTTTTCAGGTAAGTAGAAAATGAAAAGAGCAAAAAGGGAGAAAAAAAAGGCAGGCAGGTTGTTGGTGAAGGGCTTAAGTCTTAAGATCTTCTTTTTGTTGTGGCACCACATTGGCTATGTCCCTTTTGCTTATACCTTGGGGCCACACCCTTTTAGCTGGGGATCATTTAGAATCTAAACAAACAAATAAAAAGAATCCCTTCCATTGACAGATTCAGAGTTCAAGAACATGGTGGCCCCAGGTGATGGCTGGGGCCTCTGATCTGATGTGTGATGAGACTAATCTGATGTGTAAAACTGCTCACTTTCCGCTAATTATGACTTAATTTAAGGGCGTCATAGTTACGCGTTTTTTATAAGCGTTGGTTGTGCTGCGTCTTAATGACAAGTGTTGATCTGACAGACCTGGAGCTTATGCGTAACCTCGTCAGAATTGCGACCATGCTGGCATGTTCGATAAAAGGCGTTGGTATGAGCTGTTGTTGTGACATCCCAGGTCTTAGTTTTATGCTTGATAATTGAGGGATTATTTTATGGATATACTAGATCTGCACTTTGACAACTTTTTCAGTTGAACTTTAGCTTAACTAGCATACACAGTTATAGTCAGTTACCAAACTTAGAAAAATGATAATATTTTACAGGCAATAATCCTCTTCTTTGCAAGGTGAAAACAACTCGAAATAATCTTAAAAGCAATAACAATAATATTCGGTTGAAAATATTCGTGTAACCAATGTTACAATGCTTTTCTAAGAGGGTGTGCACGTACCAACCACACTCACACGTGTCAGCCTGTCATCTACACATTTTAGATGAAATTCAGCTGGTTTTTAGAATTTTTAGATGGATTCTATCTCCTCTTCTTTAATTAATGAAGCATTTGTACACAAAGCTGGGCCATAAATTTGGTCCCAAAAGGAGCCCAGCCCAACGGGCCTTCGGCCCATCCCGAAGCAGTGGTCTCCTCGCCTCGTCGCCCACTGCCACCGCTGACGTCACCGCACTCTCGCTGCTGCTGCTGCTGCTCGCGACGCCCCGAACCCCCCCATGTTCGCCGGCGGCGCGGATGGCGGCAACGGCCACCTGCCGCGGCCGCGGAGGGCGCGGCGCGGCGGCGGAGGCGGAGGAGGAATGGGGTCTCCTCCTCTGGGGCCGCCACCGCCGCCCTGCACCGACTACGACATGGCCTACTTCAAGGCGTACTCCCACATCGGCGTCCACGAGGAGATGCTCAAGGTAAGTCGCCCTACCTGTGCATCTCTCTCTCTCTCACTCTCCGTGGTTTCGGGTTCGTGCTGGAGAGGAGAGTTGGGGGGAACCGCGCGTACCGGCGGATGGATGCGTAGGTGGGTTAGGGTTTATATTTCAGTGGCGATTTTGGGGATCGGATTCGTGGGATCATGGTACAAAATGGGGTTGTCTTGGGATCCTCGTTGTTGCGCTGCTATGTGTAAGGAGAAGCTAGTGTTTGCATTAGTCTAATTAGCATAAAAACCTGCATAGATGGGGATGTTTTAGTCTCGAATGCTATGACAGAGATCATGCTATTCGATGAAAAAATTGAGTAAGCTCCATTTCCATGCCCGCGATCATATGCATTTGGGATTGAATGTATGTAACAAGTTCGCTTACCTTGTCAAGGAACAATGGCCACTCTTTGGGTAACAGTATTTAAACATATACCACAAAGGGAATAATGGGATGATCCTATGTACTTTCATTTGTCAGATAGTAAACGAAAACTGTGACCGTAAACGTGGATGGATGTGTCCCCTGTTCCTTGTCGAGGTACTATCACTGAGACACCAACTGTTTCCAAAACGGTTATGTTAAGGTGCTAGTATATTGTTTCCCACAAACCTTGAAGTTTGAAAATCCTGATATTCTCTTCCCTTTCTTTGAAACCTTTTGTTTAATGAGACCTCTTTGCGCATGAGAAAGTCATTTCTTGTTTATGGGTGTTTCTCCCCCCTCCCTCTTTATTTTTTTAAATAAAGAGAAGGATCATGTGACTGACATTTATGCTGCTGACTGCAGGACCATGTGAGAACTAATACTTACAGAAATGCTATCATGCATCACCAGGATTTAATTTCAGGCAAAGTAATAATATTTTTTGACTTATTTATTTTCTGGACTACATGGTATTCTTGGCAAGACGGCAGATTGGATACAACTTTCTGTCCTACTAATTTAGCTCTTGTGTTTTTTTTTTTTTTTTGAAATGGCAACTTTCAGGTTGTGTTGGATGTGGGCTGTGGCACTGGTGTACTTTCTATATTTTGTGCTTTTGCTGGTGCCGCTCGGGTAACTTCATTAGTTAGTTATTAGCTGTGCACTTGTGTTCTGATGATGATACTACAATTTGACGTTGTGCTGATTTTTTTTTAAGTATCTCTCATCCTCTAACATTCCTTTTGCTCTCGAACTATTCTGAAAATTGCAATGGCATATCTTGATGGTTACCAAATACTAGTTAAATCCACGATTAATCTTTTCTATGCATCAAATTATGATTCATAATTCAGCAGTTTACCTTTTTAAAAGACATGTGAGTGAGCATGTAATATGCTGTACGAATCTATGAGTTCCTTTTGTACATGCTTGAGGGCTGTAGATTATTCTTCAGTTATTTCCATGTGGTACTTCATTTCGTGACATAGATGAAAAGATTACTGTTTTGGTCTATATAATTCATCTCTCGAATGAGATTATGTTGTTTTCACTTTTCAGGTCTATGCAGTTGATGCAAGTGATATTGCCTTACAGGTAGAGCCTTCCAACACCCTGTTTTACTTCTGTAGTTTTCCAAACTACAGTTGTATTTATTAATCATGAGCCGAGCTGCAAGACTTATTTGGTAGCATGAAAATTGGTAAATCATATAGCAAAAGATTTTGTTGCTTTATATTTTGTGATATGTCAGTACTCTGCTAAATATGCATATTCTTGAAATGCTTTTGCAGTTATGCCAGCATATGATTTTACCTTCTGCATTCTATTATTACCTTCTGCAAATTGTGGTGTTGATTCTGATTACATTTGTAATCTGAAAATGTTTAGGCTATGGAAATTGTGAGAGAAAATGAGTTATCTGACAAAGTCATTGTTCTGCACGGTCGAATTGAGGTGCGTGTTTCTATTTAATCTTTGACATTCCCCACAATTGCATCTACTGAGCTTTATCATACTTTTCATGTGAGGCTGTAACACTTTCTGGCTTAGACCATATCCTTCTTTTGCAACCATCCTTAAAGTTCTATCTTTTATTGTGGTTTTGTTACTATCCTTATAATTCTACTTTGAGGTCCTCCTTGTGTTATCCAGTATTATTATATTAGAATATTTGAAAATCAGGATGTCGAAATTGAAGAAAAAGTCGATGTCATCATATCTGAATGGATGGGCTACATGCTTCTGTATGAGGTATATATAAGTTCCATGTTTATGCTGCTGATCTTACTCCACACATCATTTTACATGTGTGCTATCTGTGGAATTTGAAATTAGTCATGTTGATGGTAGAGTATGCTGGGGAGTGTAATCTTTGCTAGAGATAAATGGCTTAAACCAGGGGGTCTTATTCTTCCATCGCATGCATCGGTAAGATTTGAGAAAAATGTCATGCTGGAATTTAACTAGCTGAGAGTTGATATAGTTATTGAAAATTGTCAGGCTGACATACAAGAATAATTTTGTGTTGCAGCTTTACCTGGCACCTATTACAAATTCCCACAGATATCAGGATAGTGTTTACTTCTGGCAAGACGTGTATGGTATAAAAAGTGAGTTGGTGTTGCGCCCATAATCCATATAGGAGTATATCCTCTCTTTCTGACTAATATATATTCTTAGTATGAGACTTAGTTATTTTGTTCATGATATGCACAATAGCTCGCAGTGCAGATAGCTTGATGAGGAAGCTAACAGTTGTTTCTTATTCTCAGAATAATTTGTAGTGTTTTCTTTGCTTGACTTCAGTGTCTTCTATGATGCCTCTTGCAAAACAATGTGCATTCATGGAGCCATCTGTTGAGACGATTAGTGGAGAGAATGTTCTGACCTGGCCATCAGTGGTGAGGTTCTAACAATTAGTTCTTGGCGAACCATTTCTCTCTTCTTGACATGAATTTAATGTGCATACCACACACAAGCCTCAAAATATAATTTCTGTTTGTGTTTCTTGCTATTTTATCTGGAGTTTTGCATTGAGTACTTGAGTTTCTGAAGCAGGTGGCGCAGGTGGATTGTTATACCATACAAGCTCCGGAGCTTGAAACTATCACTGCTACATTTAACTATACGTCGATGTTGCAAGGTAACTTGTACTAGTTTATTTTTTTACATGTGCATTTTGGTATAGGTGGCAACCAACTATGTAATAGTTTCCAACATCTGTCCCCCCCCCCCCCCCCTCTCTTTTTTACTTCACTTGCTGGGAAACTGTTGCTGATCCTGCTCTCTTCTGTCTTGTCTTGTTATTTTAGCTCCATTGCATGGTTTTGCATTTTGGTTCGATGTCGAGTTTAATGGACCAGTGCGCCAGAGATCCAAGAAGCAAGCAAACCAATGCTTGGATGGGAACACACAAGATGCCAGCCCAAGTAATAAAAAGAAAAAGGCAGATGCCCCAATTGTTCTGTCGACTGCACCGGAGGATGCACCTACCCACTGGCAGCAGGTGATTGCTTTGTGCCCTATCTATTTTCCTTTTTGTTTGGGTATATTGAAATACCTAGAGAATTACAGTTAAAATCCACAATAGTGATAGCATTCTCTCGTTCAGACCCTATTGTACTTGTTTGAACCTATCGAGCTAAAGAAAGATCAAAATATTGAGGGTTCTGTTACCATATCTCAAAGCCAGCAACATGCTCGCTTCCTCAACATCTGCCTGAAATATTTGTAAGTCTGATTACTCTAGCGCAGTTTCATTCTTATCATGATCTTCTGCTACTAAAGCTTGATATAATTCTGAATCCCTCACGTATTTGCAGTACTAGAGATCAATGGTATGTTAAAGAATCGGTGATGAAATAAGACGGGGGTAGCTTCAAGAGTGGACTGCAGGATCTCATATTTGTTTTTCCTGTGCACGTTGAAGCTTACTTGCAATTTTGGAGAATCTTTGACAAGCGTCACGTACTGACATCCTGATGACAAGCGTCTTTTGGTTCCTATTTGGAAAGCTGGATTTTTTTTTTTAGGAATTGAGTGCAACTCCGCTAGAATTCGTACAGAAATCCTTTTTTTCTTGAAAAGGGCCTGATTAGATTAACAGCCTGATGATCATGTGCATTCAGCTGATGAAAGGAGCAGTGAGAAACTCATAATTACATGCCGACCAAGGGTGGGATAGGTTTTCCTGTTAAGTTTGTCTTAGCTCATGTCATTTGGTTACGCTTTGTTATTTTTTCCTATAGACTAAGATAGCAATGTTCTTTTCTTTGTAAGAACAAATTGTCAACATTCATGCGGCCCTTGTGGTAGGCTATCAGCGGCGTGATTTTCTGATTTTCCATATGCTCGTCTTTATTGTCTAACAAATTAGTGTTGATGCCGCCTTCCTGAGGTGTTCTTATGAGTTAGTATCACTTGTAACAAAACTTGAAAGAATTCGAGAAATGGCATTTACGGCGCAATTTTTCAGAGAATCAGAGGAATTAGAGGAGATCAAGTCCCCAACCCTGTGTAGAATGAATTTCATTCCAATCTATGAGCCGTCAGTTGGAATGATAACATGTTTAGAACATCAGTGAACGATGGATTTTTTTTAAAAAAAATCAAACAGTGCATGTCTAGATAAAAATCAAACAGTGCCCTTGCCAATCGAAGGGTCACTCATGTTATCATGTATGTACATCTCAGGTTAACAGGAAGGTTTGTATTAGCGCCACACGAGCGACGCGGCCATGCTCTTCAATTCCCTACTGTGCAACACCGCACCACCAGTTTGGATTTAGCGTGTGAAAAAAAAAGAATCACATTACGAATCTCGCACCTAAAACGCTACATGTCAACCAATCAGAACGTCGAGGCCAAGACGAAACGAAATCCTGGACATGAACTCTTGTTAGTGGCCTGGAAAATATTCAGATGAATGAATATTTCTAACCAAACAATTATCTGGAGATTTAAAATAAGTTCGGTGTTTACCTCATAGTCTAGTCATCATCCTCATCATCGTTATTGTTGTTCGCATGGTATATCTTTTGTGCACGGTACATATCAGCAACCTGGGAATTTGAACATAGTAGTAGTCATGCATGAGAAATCTTAAGATCGTGCCATAAAGAAAGAAACAAGCGGGAGAAACTTACTTGCTCAGATGTGGTTGCCTGTTCTGGATTTTTATCATCACGAACACGTAACAAGCGAGGAAATCTTAGGGAGATGCCCTGGTTCAATTTGGCTATTAGTATCAAAATCATGCACTCATGCATATATACTACAGAACGGGATTACGGCGGATAGCAAAACCAACCTTGTTCGGATCAACTATACCATTGGCAGCACGATGCACAGGACTAATGCTCAAATCAGCAGCTTTCACCTCCCAAACCTGAGGATCAACAAAATATAATAGCAAACCTCAACAATCAGAAAATTAAATCAAAGCTGCCTAGACCCCTTAATTTAAACTTTAGGGTCAAAATATATCCGGGGAAGTAAGAAGTAAAACAACAAATTCAATAAAACCATGTAAAACACTACACAAAAATATGCTTAGAAGTTCTAGAAAATTCCCAAAACAATTCGGTCAATTCCATATGTAGTAAGGTGCTATGGTACACGTATAGAAAATCTAGAGATCAAACAATAGTTCATTTGGAAGATATGAAATTCAAAAACATTGGAATGTAACATCAACAAAAAAAATGTAGAATATATAGGGGTAAAACATAAAGCATTGGTGTTGAATAAGTAGAAATTCATATCATAAACTGAGTTCAGATTTGAGAAGAATGGGACAAACCCAGGTCAATCAAATCAAGAGTTCCAGACCAGCAGTGAGTGATGGCAAAAGCCCCTAACAAGAAGTACGAGTACAACTAAGAAACAGTCGGTAGTCAAAAGTTTAAGGTGGGCATTACCTCTGAAGGCTCAAACCACACATCTGGGTCCATTGTGTCAGCAAACCTATAGTATGCCTAAAAAAAATGAAAGCACAACTGTAGAACAGAACAACAGGACAAGACAATGAACAAAAGATAAAAAGAGAATAATCATGCAATAGCAGGCTGAAGGGATGCACCACCTTTGGTTTTGGTATTGCTTTAGTTCGAAGGCTCACAGAACGCTCCTCAAGCTGTTGCTCAGAAAATCCAGTGCCTAAATGTGGATCAAGATATAAAACATGAATCAAATCATCATACTAACAGGATAAGGTTAAAAAACCAACATACCTATGTTGCAGATTGTTTGGTATTCTTCGTTCTGCTCATCGTAACATGCCAGGAGGAATGATCCATATACACCTAGTAAGCACGAGCCAAACGGACACAGATAAATCCATGAGGAATGATCCATATGCACATTACTTTGTTTAACTCATTTTTATTTTCAGTACGTATGATGGAAGAAAGCATACCTGTACGTTTTCCTCTCCCATGAAAGGCAGCAATTGGCACCAAATCCAAAGAGTCTCCAATGCTGCTCCCCAAGAAAAAAAAACAATTAAATGATCCTATGCCGAGTAAATGGTACACAAAAAACTATAATGGTTGGACCGTAACATATAGGATAAACACATGATTTTTTTATCTAGCCCACATCAATTTACTAGATCTAATCTGTTGTGTAATCAAAGATGAGTAAAATCTGGCACAGCATGAAATCTGACCTGTCCATGTAGTCTTTCTTCAATTTCAACCAATTGTTCGATCGTTTTGCTGGCTCATATGTAGCATCCTTATCCAATGTCTTGATAATCAACCCTTCACAACTGCACAGCGATTGATCTTAGTGGCAGGACAAAACTCCAATAGTCTAATTGCAAACTTGCAACACCCAAAAATCATTAAAAATCCCTGCCTAAAATGTTTTTATTCCTTCACTGGAGTCCTAAAGTCATGATAATGCTACATTTTGCATGGTTTAATTTGACATCTTATTTTCACAGATATATGCATCCTAGGCGGGCTAATAGTTTGTAAGGTGTCCTTTCACAAGAATTCAATAGAAATCAACTTAACAATAAGACAAAGTTGAAATTGAGCAGTATCTGCTATAAATAATTCTGCAGAGAACGATTGAACTTCCGTTGAATTTTCTAGAACAAGCAAGGTGGCAGACCAAACTAGAAACAGGTATGATAAGTTGGCCCAAATTAAACCAACTGCTACTGAAATTCCATTTACCTGGAGTTGACAGCTGTGTCAAGAAATTTTTGTATCTCCTCGAGGTCATTTGATGTAATTGAAGTTGCCAATTGAAAAACACCTGGTACTTCCTCAAAGGAGTTGTAAAGATGCTGCAAGCATTCAGTGTCAATGGAATATCTCCAGAAACATTTGACTGAATTAGGTTTATTTTGTTGGATTTGAGGAAATAACACTTCATGTGTATCAGCTATGAAATAGACTTCAACAGATCCTTTTTTTCATGAAAACATATGCAGCACATGCGATAAATGTAACAACAGGCACGGCTGAACAAATAAGTGATTCTGACTCAGATATAGTCTGTAAAAAAACTGCAGCCATGGCTTTGTTAAAACGTGCCCTATGGGATAGCAATGGATAGATGAACTTAAACAATACAGCTCATAACAGTACAGAAAAAACAATACCTCTCGTCGAACTTTCAGTTGTTCCTGGAGAAGAGGCTTGCCATTGATGTAAAGAATATCAAAGCCAAAAGTACAGACTGACACTTTGATATCACTTATGGTAACACCCTTGCGGGCCCGTGTGCTAAGTATCTGCAAGAAAGAAGAATCAATCACTGGATCCTCAGAGCTAGTGTTAACAGATACATAAAAATCAGCTAAGAAAACAAGGGCGATAAAACAAACAAAAATTTACTAATGTGAAACAGATAAAAATTCTAGCTGAACTGCTTGGTGTTGTATAATCATATTTATATTGGTGGTCATTATGAACCAAACAAAAATCTTGTTTGGGACGAAATACAAACCTGAAAAGGTAATATTTTCTTCTTTTCACGGTCATAAGCAACAATTTCACAGTCCAAGACAAATGATTTGACTGTAGGCTTCCGGAATCTGCATTTAGATGCAACAGGATAATATTTGTTCGGAACTAGATGTGCAAGAGCAAATGAACAATAGATGGGCAAGTTAAATAGCTTATACGGGTTTGGCTTAACAGTGTTAGTACATGTGGACGTAACATGATAAAGTAAAGAGAAGGGGGTTTTAAATTTAATAAAGTAATAAACAAATCTAGCAAAGCACCTAATAAATAACAAGTTGACCAAACTGTACATATATATGTATGTAGAATTTGAACTATTGGTGGTCGACAACTGTTGCAGTGTAAGGTAAACTTAGCATCAAAGGCCTTAAAAAGAGGGAAACAATGAGTGGACCGCCAAATCTGAGATCACGATAGTGGCAAAAAAATAGGACAGTATACCTAGAAACCGCATCAACAACATCAGGATACTTCCCAGTGTTCCTCTCAGCATTACGACTATAGATCTCTACTGATCCATCTTCCAGGCAATGTATCTTCATTCCAAAGTATCAAGTGTTACTGGATCATAAATTCAGAATATAAGAAAAGCTAACCAATCATGGGCTTGTTCGTACCTGAGCCCGTTCACCATCATACTTGTACTCACAAGTGTACTCAAGACCCTGAAATTTGTCTATGATCTCTGAGACAGACTTTGTTGCTTTTGCCAACATAGGACCAACAGGAACACCAATAGAAAAACTGCATATCTCTGGAAGTTTCCAAACACCAACTTCTAGAATAGCTGGGACAATTTTATCGTATATTGGAAGAACTGAATATACTTGTTTAATTATTTTTGCAGCCTTCAAAAAACAAAGTTTAAAATAAGCATCAGAACATATCATAATTGTTGGTATTCATGCACAGCTTTCAATATGATGCCAGAAACAAAATACGATGGTACTGAACAAGCAAACCACATTAATAATCCTCCACACAGGTGCTAGCAGGAGCACTCTCAAGAGCATAACGCAAAATTGCAACTCACATAAGTTCCAATGTAGATTAGATGCACCACCAAGATTAACTAGATGCAGTGGCTACAGAAGGATTGCTAGCACTCAAGAAAATAGTGCCATTACAATTCCTGAGCTAGCAACCGTATCAAATTTTCTAAGGCCAAACTTTCAGTAGGAATAGCAGGGATCAACAAATTAGAACTATGTTGAATGCAAACTGAAAACCTCTTGAATCATGTGCATTTATCTGTAGATAACCCAAGCATTTGGAAATCCATCCACTCAAATCAAACATTACTATTGCGCAGACAATGCAAGTATTTTGAAACTTATCCACATTAATCAAACATTACGGTAAAACTTTAAATAGAAGAAATGTGCGCCAACCTCTTCAAAAGGGGATTGGATTTTTGACGGTGGAGAATGTTTTTCAGAATACACAGCAGCTTGCCCAAGAGCCATCTGGACGGTTTTTTCTGCTAACCCAATCCTCATCTTCGACTGTAACAAGTAACAGTTAATGCTTCAGGCAGAGGCAAAGACTACAGTATACTCATGGACACCAGGCACATTAAAATGAGTTACCTGAAGTAGTCGTGTAATGTATTGAGGTTCACAGTCAGTTGCGGCAACGAGAAGTCCTTTGATATGATTTCTTTTCTTATCTTGACTATCTTTGCCTGATTCCTGATGAAAAAAAAAAGTATGGTTGCTAAATGATCTCTGAAATGACAATGCATAGTAGTGCATTCTGCAACTAGAGTACCCTCCCTCTAATCCCATTGCTTACTACTCAGTGTGGATTTACTTCTGACAATCAATCGTCTCGGCACCATCAAGACAAGAATGTTCAGTTCATGTTGACAATATCAGTCCGAATAATGGGTAATGAGAAATGAGAGGAATAAAACCTTTGCAATTGTCCGGAATTTTGCAAGTACATGTGAGATCGTCAGTGGTTTCGGTTTGTACATCATCTTCTGTGACAACCTGCTTGCTTTTGCAACAAGCCCCAAATCGCCCAACTCCTACAATGGCCAACAGAAACATGTTCAAGTTAGGACTTCAGCTTCATAATGCTTGCTCATTGATTGAACCTACATTGTCCCCAATTTAATTACCTTTAGGTTCTTCTTGACATGCTCCTCTCTGCGGCCGTATGCCTCCGCAAGTGCACGGATAATTGATGCATCCCCAATTCCAAGTTCAGTCCCTTCATGAGGCGGCGCAATCCGGTTGGCTGAGAGGTATACTGTCGCGAGGAGATCCTCTGGTGTTGTGGCAATCACCGTGCGGAATACATTCGATAGGATCTCCGTGATAACAATCCTTCCAGACTCATTAGAGATGAGGTCAAGTGCCCGAGCGAGGAACAGGAACGGCACGGGCTCCTCGGGGCTCCAATAAGCAGCAGCCATGGGATTGAATTCACTGCCCTTCTTCTTGAGCTCGAGGGTGGTGTCCTTTTCCTCAGACTTGGGGGCATCCAAGGCTTTGGTCTTCTTAGGTGAGGAGGGCTTCTTTATGTCCTGGGATTCAGAAGCTAGCGCTTTTGCCTTCGTCGGAGATGGTGACCTCCTCTTCTCCTTCTCAACGCCTTCCGCGGAGGACTTGGTGTCGGATTTGGCACCTAGGGTTTTAGGCTTCTTCGGCGAGGGCTTCTCCTTCGCCTCCGGTTTCGCGCCAGCAGCCACCGATTCGGACCTCTTCCCCTCACCTGGCGAGTTGGACTTAGTCGGCGAGGACGACCGCTTGGGCTTCACCGGCGAATGCGGCTTCTCCTCCGGCTTCGCCACCGCGCCGCCATCCGCCTCCGCGGCGGGCTGGGGCTGCGTCTTCAGCTTCTTCGGCGACGGCGCCGCCCCCTTCTTCGCCTTCCTCGCCGCGTCCCGCGCGTTCCCCATCAGCACATCCGCCACCGTCCGCTTCCCTCCCCCACCTCCACCCCCACCCGCCGAGGCCGACATGGCCGCTCCTCCCGCCGCCGCCGCGGCCGCCGCCTTCCCCCCGCTGGACTTGCCCCCCTTCCCCTTCCCCTTCCCCGCGCCCGCGCCCGCGGATGCGGATGCGGCACCGGTCGCGCGGCGTCGGGAGGAGGAGGACGCGGAGGAGGAGAGGCGGAAGCGGGAGGGGAGGAGGAGGGCGGGGGGAGGGCGAGCGGGGAGGGCGAGGGCTAGGGTTCTAGGCGGCGGGGAGAGCGGGTGGTGGCATCGGAGGAGGAGCGAGGCGGCGGCGGCGGAGGCGGCGGTGGAGGTGGAGGTGGCGGTGGCGCGGAGGAGGAACATCAAATGGGGGAGAAGCGGAGACAAGGAGGAGGGGGTTTTAGGAGGAGGCGGCGACGCCGTCACGGCGCGGGACGGCGATGTTGCAGACGTGGAAGAAACAGATTGGTAGATTAGAAACAGCTAAAGAACAAATATATATATATATATATATATATATATATATATATATATATATATATATATATATATATATATATATATATTGCTGGATGTTTTTTTTTTCTCTTAGATTAAATAACCGACGAGGAACAATGTAAATCATGGAATGGAGAGATTGAGTTGAAGGAAAGTTGAAGGAGATGGTATTTGTAGTTGGTTCATATGGTATACCAATTCTTTCTATGTAGAGAATGTAATACCCCACAGTTAAAACGTGGGGGTTTTGGGCGTAGAGATTGAACCGAAAGTTTTGGAAAAGTATATTGTCATTAATAATGGTTGTCGATCTCGATACTATCTTACACCAATTCTATATATACCATATTTTAGATGCATGGTTTGGTTGGATATTCAAGTGAAATTTTTAAATCTTAGCTATAGTAATTAGAGTAACTATAAAATTACAATAATGTTTATATAACTTGTCTATAATAATTATAAAAAACCATGTTTCGTATTGTGGTTAGCCACGCTTGCTCTCCTAGACAAAACATTCCTTCTCCAACACCCAAATGGGATCCGACACAGTTATAAATTTACAAGTTTTAGGACGAAAAATACACATTGTCACATGGGATGCGATGGTAGTAAACTAGAAAAAAGAACTTTTAGACATTTCTGCATGGGATCTGACGATCATAAGTTCGAAAGTTTTAGGGAAAGAAAACTGTTAGACATTTCCACATGGGATCTGATGATCATAAATTCCAGAGTTTTAGGGGACAAACTTAAGACATTTTTTTAGCAATTCCTTTTGAGAAATTTAAAGACATTCTTGGATGATTCTAGCCTGGTTTGAATATTTGAGATCGAGATGAGAGACCAAATTCGGACTAAATATTTTGAAATGGCAACACGAACATTCCAAACTGTGAATCAAACTGACACGAGACAGACCACAACAGGTCACCCTTACAAGATAACTCGCAGAAACACACACCATGCAAATGCAAGAGATCAAGAGCACATTATTTTTGCTACTCGACCAAACACGTCAAGAGAGTAGCAACGCTGACACGACTGACACACTGACACATACCACACGTACTCCATGCAAACAAGCGTTGCCAACGCCGGTGGCCGGCCGGCCGGCCGCCGCCGCCGCCGGTGACGACAGAAGCGGCGGCTCAGGCGTCGGACCAGGTGACGGGGACCTCGCCGACGTTGGTGTCGAGGCCGAGCGCGCTCCACACGGCGGCGGAGGTGTCGACGATGTCGTCCTTGCAGCCGCCGTGGCGGGAGTCGCACTCGTCGACGACGGTGGCCACCACGGAGCGGCCGTTCTGCCGGCTCGTGATGCGGATCCCGCGGTGGCAGCGGCGGCCGCCGGCGAACCACCCCGTCGACAGCGCCGCCACCAGGGACCGGTCGCTGTGGTAGCGCCCGTCGCACGCCGCCGGCCCGCCGCCGTCCTCCCCCTCCTCGAACCCGTTCACCGTCATCACCGCCGGCGTCCCGTCCTCCGACACCGCCGGCGACGAGCACCGCCGCATCCCCGGCGGCAGATGCGAGTCCACGCCGCCGCCGCCGCCGTCGCACGGGTCCGGCTTGCCGTGGCGCCGCGCGGCGGCGCACGACGCGAGCAGCAGCACGAGCATCGCGAACAGCGCGAGCTGCTTAGCGTTCGCCATTAAGCTCGTGCTGTTGCTTAATTAATTAGCAGCTAATGACTTGCTTAATTACGCTGTTAGCTAGTACTAGCATTATATAGGCTCATCAGAGTAAGGATACATTTTTACTTAATTACACGTGTACATCATTAAGTTGTTTGTTCGTTTAATTTTTGGTGGTTGATGTTGAACAACGGCGATGCTAATGATTCCATTTTGGTAGATAAGTACGATACTCTTTCGGTAATCTCGATACAATTAGATTAGTGGCTTCATTGTTGGACAAATGCATTGTACTAACTTTGGATTTGATGGCGTGGCTAATTTTACAGCGGTAATAACCGAGAGGAGAACAAGTGAAAGCGTCGCCAGCGACAGAGAGTTGGTGATAATTTGACATTACCATCATTAATTAAGTACAAAAATGTAAAAACTGAAAGGTTCAATTAGGCCTAAGGGGGTGAATAGGCTAATTTAAAATTTTATGCGGAAGCTAAAACTAAAATAAGGTCGGAAAGTCTGATCCACAGTCAGATTATCCGAAAATATCAGATAGTCTGATGTCTGATCCACCAATGAAGCACAACAAGTAGATCTATAATACAAGCAAGAGTAAAGCACAAACAGTGACTAGATCTATAGCGGCACAATTAAGCAAAGCTAAAAGGAGGATGAAGGGAGATCACCAATGATGAAGTTCACGAAGTTGTTCCCGGAGTTCAAATCCTTGAGGGGATTCTACTCTCCGTTGAGGAGCTCACTAAGAGCCGGGTTTTTGCTAACCCTTTCCTCAAGAGGTTGCACTAAGCACTTCTCCTTCCACTAAGGGGTATATCTTTCCTTGCGGAGGCGAGATCCGACCTTCACAAACTTCTCTCGGCCAACAACACGTAGATCGGTGGCTCAGGAGTGACACCTAGCCGTCTAGGAGTCCTCAACCTCCAAGAGTAACAAACACCACACAACTCGTGGTCAAACCCTAGTGTTCAAGATCGAGTGAAACACACACTAGGCCCTCAAACACCAAATCCACAACCACCAAGATCCACCACACAAAGAACAAGGAGGGATTTGAGAGAGGGAGAAAGAGCTCAAAGATCCAAAGCACCTTAGCACCAAGCTCAACCCAAAGTGAATGAGAATGAAATGAGTTGGGTAACCCTAGAAAAGGGTTAGGTGGGGGGTATTTATAGACCCCCCCAAAAATGTGGCCGTTGGAGGGGAATCTTTCAGCCCACGTCGGATAGTCCGATACAAGATCGGATAGTCCGATATTTTAAACCTCCAAGGCAATGAGAAATAGAGAACGAAGTTCCATGAAATTTCGGACTTTCCGAGACATCGGACTATTTGATGTTAAATCGGAGTATCTGATATTTTAGAAGCAAAAACTTCGTCCTCAAACAGAGACTCAAGTTCTATGAAATTTCAGAGTCTCTGTATCATTGGACTATCTGATCCGACATCGGATACTCCGATACTTAGAAAAACTCACTCGATAGGATTTTTTCAAATCAAGACAGAGAGTGAAGTTCTATGAAAAATCGGATAGTCCGATACATCGGATAGTCTGATTTCAAATCGGATAGCCTGATGTTGCTCAAGTAAAACTGCAATAACTTTTTATTCCGAACTCCGATTTCGAAGATCTTTGACTCTATGGAAAGCTAGTTTCATGGGCTATCAAACCCAACATAAAACATGGTCCAAAACCTTCAAGAGATGTTGAAAAACTTGCAAAGAAACCCGGTGTAAGTGTTGTGATAAGTGAAACAACTCGGGATTGAAATTTTGACTTAGGTTTTTCAACTCACACAAAGATGAAGCATTTTGAGCACTAGTATTCTACCAATAATATGCATGTGGTATCCCTCTTAATAGCACGACATTCCTACGACACAATATAAGGTAAAAGATACAATATACCATTTGATCATTGCCGCATTGTATCGTGATGTCGCATTCATGGGGTATGCATCTCATTACAACATGTCGAGGACATAACAACCTTCATATTTGCTTGAATAAAAGTGTTAGTCCTCTCTAATCGCATTGTAATTAATCATCAAAATCATTAGGGGCCTAGATGCACTTTCAAAAACAAAAACAAGTTAACTAATGATCATTCATGTACTAGGATGTAGGAGTGTTCATTTTGTTATTTGTATCTAATCATGTGAGCCATCTCATGGGTAACAGAGGTTAACATATGTGAGATTTTTTCACTCAAAATAATCGAGGAGGATTGTTATTACCGATCGAAGGGGAATTTCTAGGTAGACTGCTAAATGAATACATGACGTCTATATTCATGAGAGTGCATGCGTATTGGCGACTTGTGAGGCATTGCAGATGATTTTCAAGCAAATTGACAGAGACAAATTAAAGACTTATGTCGGCTAACAAGTTGATAGAAACTTTTTGTTGATCAACATAAATTTCAAAGGACGATATGGCTCAAATTTATCCAATCCTGGCGTTGAAAGTAAATTACAACAATGTAAAGACTGAAAAAAAAATAGAGTGTAGGTGGTGTTCCCAAATCTTATATCACTTCAATTTTGCCTAGATAGGTGTAAGAACCATGCTGATGATATTTGCATTATGAGCAATATATGATTTATATCTCATGCATTTGTATAAAATTTTTGAATAAGATTAACGGTTAAACATGTGTCTAAAAGTCAACGACATCATCTATTAAAAACGAATGAAACACATCACATAAGAACCACTTTCTTTGTTATTATCACTATTTTTTCTCTGTTATAGTACCCCTAGTATTATGTGCAAAAATTATCATAGATTCATATTGGAGTCCTAATCCAATTGGACCAATTCTATTTATCAATCAAGTGATGCGTGATCAGTCAGCCCGGACAAGTATCGGACAATCATGCCCGGGTATTTTCATAAAAAAAGGAGAAATTATCCTGTACTTGATGTCCTTTCGTTATTATTTGTATGGCACTTAAATGATTTTGTAAAAAAATAAAAAAATAACAAGATAGTTTAATATGTGATACATCACTCCATAAACATGCAAGATTAAATTTAATTAACTTCTACATGTTAAAAAAACATATTTAACTGTGAATACGCATTTACTAGTTGTAGTTTAACTTTTTTTCTTATGATTTGTAGAAGTTGAATTTTAATTTTCATGTTTGTCAAGTGATGTATCATATGTTAATACATCTTTTCTTTTTTTATGATTATTTAAGTAATATACAAATAAGAGAGTATACATTTCCTTGAGAGTATAAAATCCAATATCAACAAAAACAGTGAAGCCTGAATTTGACCAAGAAAACTTAACCAAACTGGTACAAATCCTTACTAGTTTATACTCCATATTGTATAAACTCATAGCAACTAACCCAGTATACTTTCTTCTTCAAAAGAAAGTGATTTTTATTCTCAAATCTCAACACTACCATGCATCGCAAAAGATTATAGAAAAATATACTAGCAAACTGTTCTTGGCTGAACACAATTCATGATCAGTCTAGGATCGAGCAGTTGCAATGGCGGCCGATCACAAGTAGCTAGGCGGAGCAGATCGCCGCCGGCGAGGGGTTCATCAGACGTCGGACCACGTGACGCGGACCTCGCCGGAGTCGGTGTCGAGGCCGAGCGCGCGCCACACGGCCGGTGACGAGTCGACGACGTCGTCCTTGCAGCCGCGCCGGGAGTCGCACTCGTCCACCACCGTCGCCTCCACGGCGCGCCGCCCGCCGCCGCCGCCGCGGCGCCCGTGTTCGCTCGGCGTGATGCGGATCCTCCTGTGGCACCGCCGCCCGCCGGCGAACCACTCCGTCGACAGCGCGACGATCAGCTCGCCGTCGCTGTGGTAGTGCCCGTCGCACGCCGCCGGCCCGCCGCCGTCCTCCCCCTTCTCGAACCCGTTCACCGTCATCACCGCCGGGAACCCGCCGTCGTGGTGGCCCGGCTTGTCGTGGTGGTCGTGGTGGTGCCGCCGCGCGACGGCACACGACGGCATCTCAAGGATGGCAAGGAGGACAGCGACAACAACCGCGACGATCTTGGTGCTCGCCGCCGCCGCCGCCATTGCTGATCTCCCGAGACCTTCGTGCTCTGCCTCGCTTCGCTTGCGATGGTGCACTGCCTCGAGCTCTCGAGGGGTTTATATATAGCACCCAGCAAGTGAGATAGTATATAATAATTAATTAATTATAATTATGGAGTAAGGTTTCTCCATTGATTTCTTGTGGATTTTCACGAGCGGTGAGCTCGATACAGGATCAATGGCGGCTTCCTTGCGTCGTAAAAACGGGCGCGGTAATTCCTGAGCTAAGCTAGCGAATCAAGAACGGGTCGCGAATCCTTCATATGGTTCGGTGCATCGACGATCTGTTGGCTGATTGATCGAGGCTATCGTATGGGATTATGGATATGGAGGGAGGTATTGGCGTTTCTGTGGAAAACTGGATGAGAGAAACCGGCAGCTTAGCTAGCGTATTTGTTCAGGCGCAGGCTTAAATTCTTATAAATGACAGTAAATGGTTTATGATAGATTCGTATTTGACAAGTGTTGAAAGATGTAATTTGTAATCAGTATACATTGCTTTGTTGGGAAAATGTTTTCATTCTCTTGAGGATATATCTCCTCATATCTTATACAGCATGTGTCATCTAAATAGTTATAATTTTATTTAAAAAAAGATCATATAGATTAACATGAAATATATTACTCCACGCGATGTGTGTGTTGGGGTTGTGGGTGGGGGGAATATTAAAGCGTGTTACAGTATATGCGCATGCAAATTTCGGTTGAATATGTGTATCCTGAATTTTGGCCTGCTGCTGCATTTCAAGACATGGTTTAGACACAAACGTTATAGACCAAACAGAGCAACATGGTCTTATGGACTCCTATGTGCATGTGCAATCTGATAGTAAAGCATTTAGAGTAAACCATGGCGGCAGAATGCCTAGTTTACTTTGATTTAATTAGGAGCAATTTGCAAATCTTCCAAGAGCAACAGCTGCATAAAAACATAGAATATTACTCGAGTACCATTTA